TGCCCAGGTACGAGGAGCTGTCCAACCTGATCCGGTCGATCCGGAACACGATGAAGATCCGGGACGTGTCCCCCAAAATCCCACCTTCATAACCCAAATTCTACCCCAAACTCAGGTGTTTTTACCCCAAAATTGGGTGTTTTTTCCCAAAATCCCTGATTTTTACCTGGAATTTACCTGCCCAGGTACGAGGAGCTGTCACACCTGATCCGGTCGATCCAGAGACGTGTCCCCCAAAATCACACCTTTATAACCCCAATATTAGGTGTTTTCCACCCCAAAATTGGGTGTTTTTTCCCAAAATCCCCGGTTTTTCCCCCAAACTCACCTGTGCCCAGGTACGAGGAGCTGTCCAACCTGATCCGGTCGATCCAGGACGTGTCCCCAAAAATCACATTTTTAGACCCAAAAAATCCAATTTTACACCCTAAAATTACACTTTTATTTCCAAAATTGGGTGTTTTTTCCCAAAATCCCCGATTTCTACCTGGAATTTACCTGCCCAGGTAGGAGGAGCTGTCCAACCTGATCCAGTCGATCCGGGTCGTGTCCCCCAAAATCCCACCTTCATAACCCAAATTCTACCCCAAACTCAGGTGTTTTTACCCCAAACTCAAGTGTTTTTACCCCAAAACCAGGTGTTTTTTCCCAAAATCCCTGATTTCTACCTGGAATTCACCTGCCCAGGTACGAGGAGCTGTCACACCTGATCCGGTCGATCCGGAACACGATGAAGATCCGGGACTTGTCCCCCAAAGTCCCACCTTTATAACCCCAAAATCCCACCTTTATCCCCCAAAATTGGGTGTTTTTTCCCAAAATCCCCGATTTCTACCTGGAATTTACCTGCCCAGGTACGAGGAGCTGTCCAACCTGATCCGGTCGATCCGGAACGCGATGAAGATCCGGGACGTGTCGCGGTGCCTGGAGGAGTTCGAGCTGCTGGGCCGGGCCTGGGCCAAGGCCAAGGGGGTGGTGGACAGGGAGGGCACCCCCAGGTTCTACCTGAGGATCCTCGCCGACCTCGAGGACTACCTGAACGAGGTGAGGGGCTCACCTGGGCACAGGGACTCACCTGGGAGGATTTGGGGTGGTTTTGGGGGGATTTGAGGGGATTTTGGGGAGGTTTATGGTGATTTTTGAGAAATTTGGATTAAAAAAAATGGGATTATTTGAGTTTATTTGGTCACCTGGACTCACCTGTGCAGGTACCTGAGCCAGGTGGGGTCTCACCTGTAGGTTCAGGGTCTCACCTGTGGATCCAGGGTCTCACCTGGGGGGATTTTGGGGGGATTTAGGATCAAAAAAATGGGATTATTTGGTTTTATTGGGTCACCTGGACTCACCTGTGCAGGTACCTGAACCAGGTGGGGTCTCACCTGTAGGTTCAGAGTCTCACCTGGGGGGATTTGGGGTGATTTTGGGGGGATTTGGGGGGATTTTTAGGTGGTTTTAGTCTATTTTTGAGCTGTTTTAACCCATTTTTTCACTGTTTTAAGCTATTTTTTAACCCATTTTTTAACCCATTTTTAACCGTTTTTTTAACCCATTTTTAACCCATTTTTATCCCATTTTTAACGCATCTTTTCTTCATTTTAACCCATTTTTTAACCCATTTTTTAACCCATTTTTAAACCCATTTTTTAATCCGTTCTTAGACCGTTTAAATTCATTTTTAACCCATTTTTTAACCCATTTTTTCTGCGTTTTAACCCATTTTTTAACCCATTTTTTAACCCCTTTTTAAATCCATTTTTAGACTATTTTAATTCATTTTTAACCCATTTTTTAAGCCATTTTTTAACCCATTTTTTGCCCATTTTAACCCATTTTTTAACCCATTTTTTAACCCCTTTTTTAATCCATTTTTAGACCGTTTTAATTCATTTTTAACCCGTTTTTTAACCCATTTTTTCTCCATTTTAAGGCGTTTTTTAGCCCATTTTTTAACCCATTTTTAACCCATTTTTTAACCCATTTCTTGCCCATTTTAACCCATTTTTTCACCGTTTTAATACATTTTTTCTTCATTTTAACCCATTTTTTAACCCATTTTTTAACCCACTTTTAGGCAATTTTAATTCACTTTTAACCCATTTTTTAACCCATTTTTAAACCCATTTTTTTCCCGTTTTAACCCATTTTTTAACTTCTTTTTAACTGATTTTTAACCCATTTTTTTAGCATCTTTTTAACCCATTTTTAACCCATTTTAAACCCATTTTTTAAACTATTTTTTAACCCATTGTTTAACCCGTTTTAATTCGTTTTTAACTCATTTTTAACCCATTTTTTAATCTTTTTTTGGACCATTTTAATTCATTTTTAACCCATATTTTAACCCATTTTTAACCCATTTATTAACCCATTTTTAACCCATTTTTAACCCATTTTTTCTCCGTTTTAACCCATTTTTAACCCATTTTTAACCCTTTTTTAACCCATTTTTCGCCGTTTTACCCCGTTTTTCACCGTTTTTTGCCGTTTTTGCCCCGTTTTGCAGCTGTGGGAGGACAAGGAGGGCAAGAAGAAGATGAACAAGAACAACGCCAAAGCCCTGAGCTCCCTGAGGCAGAAACTCCGCAAATACAACCGGGATTACGAGGGACAGATCGCGGCCTACAGACAGGTCAGGGGGAAATTGGGATTATTTGGGGTTTATTGGGGTTAAATGGGGGTGAAATTGGATTTAATGGGGATTTAATGGGGATTTATTGGAGATTTATTGGGGTTAAATGGGATTTATTGGGGATTTATTGGGGTTAAATGGGATTTATTGGGGTTAAATGGTGGTGAAATGGGATTTAATGGGGATTTAATGGGGATTTATTGGGGTTAAATGGGATTTAAATGGGATTTAAATGGGATTTAATGGGGATTTATTGGGGTTAAATGGGGGTGAAATGGGATTTATTGGGGATTTATTGGGGATTTATTGGGGTTAAATGGGATTTAAATGGGATTTAATGGGGATTTATTGGGATTAAATGGGATTTATTGGGGATTTATTGGGGATTTATTGGGGTTAAATGGGATTTATTTGGGATTTATTTGGGATTTATTGGGGTGAAATGGGATTTATTGGGGATTTATTGGGATTTAAATGGGATTTATTGGGGATTTAATGGGGATTTATTGGGGTTAAATGGGATTTAAATGGGATTTTTTGGGGATTTATTGGGCATTTATTGGGGTTAAATGGTGGTGAAATGGGATTTAAATGGGATTTATTGGGGTGAAATGGGATTTATTGGGGATTTAATGGGGATTTCTTGGGGTTAAATGGGATTTAAATGGGATTTATTGGGGATTTAATGGGGATTTATTGGGGTTAAATGGGATTTAAATGGGATTTATTGGGGTTAAATGGGATTTAAATGGGATTTATTGGGGTTAAATGGGGACAGATCGCGGCCTACAGACAGGTGAGAAAATTGGGGGAAAATGGGATTATTTGGGGTTTATTGGGGTTAAATGGTGGTGAAATGGGATTTAATGGGGTTTTATTGGGGATTTATTGGAGATTTATTGGGATTTATTGGGGTTAAATGGGATTTAAAGGGGATTTATTGGGGTTAAATGGGATTTAAATGGGATTTAATGGGGATTTATTGGGGTGAAATGGGATTTAAATGGGATTTAATGGGGATTTATTGGGGTTAAATGGGGGTGAAATGGGATTTATTGGGGATTTAATGGGGATTTATTGGGATTAAATGGGATTTATTGGGGATTTATTGGGGATTACTTGGGGTTAAATGGGATTTATTTGGGATTTATTTGGGATTTATTTGGGTTAAATGGGATTTATTGGGGATTTATTGGGGTTAAATGGGATTTATTTGGGATTTATTTGGGATTTATTGGGGTGAAATGGGATTTATTGGGGTTAAATGGGATTTAAATGGGATTTATTGGGGATTTATTGGGGTTAAATGGGGGCAGATCGCGGCCTACAGACAGGTGAGAAAATTGGGGGAAAATGGGATTATTTGGGGTTTATTGGGGTTAAATGGGGGTGAAATGGGATTTATTGGGGATTTAATGGGGATTTATTGGGGTTAAATGGGATTTAAATGGGATTTAAATGGGATTTAATGGGGATTTATTGGGGTTAAATGGGGGTGAAATGGGATTTA